ACTAAGCTCCCTACTCCATGAGGTCATTTGAGCGCACGGGACACAAACATTTTCTGTTGGTGGGAAATTTTGAATTTTGCCTGGATGGCGTCTGAAGCCTACTCTTATCGATTTTAGACCACCACCGGATCTTTAACATGCGCAACTTGCACAAGGGATCTCCGTGATTTTTCGCCCTTGTCCGAGAAGGCTAAATCTTTCCTACTGGAAGATCAGGGGTGTGGCTGAAAGACAGCTGTAAGAAAGAGCCAAGGAGTGGCAGGGGCTGCAGAAAGAGTCAGGAGCTCAGAAGAGGGGGCAAAGGAGGTGAGGGGCTTGGGGCAGAATGTGGAAACGAAAGCAGACGACGGCATTGCAAGAGAACAGGTTTCTTGGTTTTGTGTGTAAATATTGCACAGTTTCACAACCTGATTTGAGAGAGAGAGAGAGAGAGTGAATGTCAAATCCTCCCCACCCCTCGACAAACAAAACAAACAAAAAACAACAACAAGACTCCCCTCCCCCCAGCAGAAAAAAACACCCTCAAAACGAAACTAAAACAACCCCAAACTACAACAACAGCAAAAAAAAACCCCCAAAACAACCCCAGCAACCAACAAATAACAACATACAAGCAAGACGATAGACCCCGGACAGTCACAACAACAACAATAGTGAGCGACTCACCCGCTGAGTGTGTTGATCGTCTTCAGCACGTTCTCAAAGCTTGGCCTGCTCTCCGCGGGCTCGGCCCAGCAGCGCTCTGCCAGCATGATGTAGGCTTGGGGGACGTCCCAGTCGCCTGTCTCTGGGCGGAAGGGCGGGGTTTCGCGTCTGTACACTCTCTGTATGATCTCTGCACACAGTAGCAACATTGTGTCACTAATTTCTTCTTTTACACACAAAAAAGTACAGTCGAACCAGCTCTAACGGCTACTTGTATAATATAAAACAATCACTTTTACAAACGGCCACTTTTTAGAATAATATTATAGTTCTCCTCTTGCATGTTGTTTACGTTACAAAGTCCACTTTCTGCCCCCACCCCGTCACCTCCTTTGCGCTCTCTTCTGGGCTCCTGGCTCTTCCTGCAGCATTTCTACTGCTACTCCTTGGCCTCTTCTTACTGCTGTCTTTCAGCCCCACCCCTGATCTTCTGGAAGGAAAGATCTACACCTAACCTTCTCGGACAACGGCGAAAAATCTCGGAGGGCCCGT